GGCATGAATTGATTGAGGTGTCACTTCTACGGGGCTGTTGGCTGTTGGCTAGGTGCTGGGATTGGGAGGGGGGCGAGAGGTGATTGGGCTTCAGGTGGCGCCGGCGGGAACTGAGGACCCTGAAGAGAAGCCGGAAGTTTGCCTTCTTACTGGTGGGGACCCTTCAACTATGTTGTGCAACTATTACCACTGCCTAACTCTAGACTTTTCCATCACCCCCCAAAAAAATTCCATAAGATAGTCCCAATTCACCAACCCCTTTCCATCCCCTGGCAACCATTAATCTACTTTCTGTCTCTATGTATTTGTTGCTGTAATTTTAGGTGTATTAATACATATTTCAAGTTTGCTTTAATTTCTAATACAGTAATTGTCCACAACACAATCCAGCCAGCGTGGATAGATAAAACCCACATAAACAGAAGATCTTTTGGGACTCAATTTTTAAGAATGTAAGAGAATTCCAAAGCCAAAAATATTGAGAACTACTGGTCTAATGTTGATTTTTCGCTTTGTTTTTAGGTTAGACATAAATGTCTAAATCAGAGTCCTACCAGGAGCAAAAAGATGGGATGATCATCCCTGGTTAAGTTTCTGGAGGGACAGAGAACTACTTAACAGAATATTTAACCTATAGGACATGGGACCTATGTGTGAAGCTTAGCAACAGACTGATGTGTGGAGTACTGAGTTACAAACTAAGGAACATCTGAGCTGGCCTCAACTCAGACATATGCCACCTGAGCTCTGCACCTCACAGGGTGGCTTTGGGCTCTGCAAGAGCTGAGTGCAATGTTGACTGTCCACAATCCAGCCAGTGTGGTCCACACCTGCAGAAGTGATCAGATGTTAAAGCACCACTGACTGGCACTGAAGTCAAGTCCTGAAATGCACAAAACGACCACCCCATCCACCTCGTACACCAGGCGTGCAAAATAACTAAAGACGCAAGAAACTGTAGAAAGATCACTACCAGTCATTTAGAATAACCCTGTTTTCACGCAACGTCTTCCTTATTCATATACTCACTGCTTCTGCCACTCAAATGGTGAAAACTATATTTAATTCAGCGAAATTTTTGGATAAATCAATTAAAGTATCTTCATTGTGTTTGACTCGTACCAATATTTGTAGTGCGAAAATTGGTAAAGCCTCAGGGACAAAGGAGGTGGGAGGCCTGCAAAGTGAGCTCTCATGCCCACCACTTCTGCTCAGTTGCAGACCCCACAGGGAGGAAGAGGACACTTTGCAACTCTATATTGGCTGCTTTACCATCCAGTAGTAGGGAAGAGTTTCTGACTATCCCAGCAACAGCCCAGCCAATGAGAGACTCTTACAATTCAACCCCGTGAGCCCCTATGACAGATGGGACTCCCAGTTTCCTCCAAAGGACGTTTTGCTTAGAACAGTCCACCAACGCTCCCCCTTTCTTCTATAAGAAGTCTCCTCTCCATTGTTCTCTGGACACGGTTGTGGTTTTGCCATAGTTGCTTGAACCGCATCGCAATTCTCTGCTCTTCCAGAGTAAACCTATCCTGCTGGTAAAATAATTGGCAGCTTTATTTGTAAGGTTAACAGTAGTTACTTGAAGGAAGAAAATGAGGTGGAAACTCTGCACTTAAACAAACCTACACCTCAAAACCCAAAAGCCAGAAGGCAAAGGGAGCCCAGTGATTGGCGAGGCTTCACACCTCTCCCACTGGGTGCGGGGACTCCCAGGGTTTGCACAGAGCGCGGGCTACAACGCTTCGGTGACCCCCGTGCGCGCATGCGTCCTCCGCCAGGGAACCCTTATCCTTGAAGGACCCAGAGGCGAACCCTTAGAGGGCGGGATAGTTGTGGGCCGGGGCTTCCGGCGGTGAGGAGCTGGGATTGGTGAAGCCTAGGAGAGGGGGCGGGGCACAAGGAAATTCAAATGGGAGAGGCGGTTCAAAGGAGGGCGTGGAGTGGACGCGGGGGTCACCGTGCAGCTGAGGCGACGCGAGATGGCGGCGCCGACCTCAGGTACCCGAACCTGGCGTGGGCGGGGCGGGGCCCAGAAGCCTGGAGCCTTGTAGGCTAATGCGTCGGAGTCTGGTCTGGGCTCTGGGGCTTGTCCCGAGAGGCCGAATTGGTGCGGGGGCGGGAGTGGAAAGGTGGAATTGTGGGAGTCGCAAGCTGGTCAGCCTTTCAGCTCTTTCCATCTCCTGTTTTCTACTCTGCACGGATCTTTTGAGACCTGGTTCCTGCACTAAAAGCTTCCTTTGAGCCCAGCGCACTTTATCTCTGTACGCTTCTTTGTCTGTAAAATGGGGACAGTGACCCCTATGTTAAGAGATTACCTGAGTAAGCGAGCGAAAAGTGGCTAACACTAACCCTAAGGACCAAAAGAAAGGAACTGGGTGCGCGTTTTGCGGGAAGGGTTCTGTGTATGACGTGTTGTTTGGGTGAGGGGAGATCGAGAGTGTAGGAGGGCAGGCGGAGGTTCAGATGAGCTGCAGCTGTGTGAGAGCTGAACACAAGATGTGCTGAGATCACAGAAAAGGGAAAAAAGGTACTGTTTCCTTTCATTCTAGCCGTTGAAGTCAATGCTATTTTAGGCTGTTAGACATTCATAATCTTGCATTTATTTGTTTACATATGTCTCTGCTCTCTTCTTCTAAACTGTGATTATGCGGGACACAATAGTAATTTGAGTCCCTTACTGTTAGGCCCTGTGGAGAAACATACAGTGTTTGACATTAGTAGAATCTCAAGCACATAACTGAGCCCTTGCTAGGTGCCAGGCACATAAAGTGTCAGCACTTTATGGTGATGAATCATTTAATCTACACACAATGCTATGAGGTGGTTTACTATTAATTGTCCCTGTTTTACAGATGAGGAAACTGAGGCATAGATGGGTTAAAGAGCTTGCTCAAAGTTAACACAACTGGTAAATATTGGAGTCTGATTTTGCACTCAGTTAGGCTGACCTTACCCATTATACCTAAATACATGATATTTCTGCTGTCTGAGCACAACCTTCCCAAGATTCACTGTGCCTCATACACAGTAGGTACTGTAAAAATGCTTGAATGAATATTGTTCCTTCAATATAATATAATAATCTGTTTCAGTAGGTAGTCATGTAAACATCATGAAAAGCAATGAGAGCTATGTATAAACTGCTATGGAGAGTGCAAAAGTAAACCCTCAGGTATTCTGGGAGGATTTCATTAAGGAAGTGATATTTGAGGTGGTTTTCAAAAGTTGGATAGGAGTTTGCTAGGCCTTGGTGGGATAAAAAGACCAACAAGTGTTTTCATATTTATGATGTAAAGAGAGGCCAAAGATGATCTCTCTGGCTCAATTTCTCCTCAATAAAGGAGAGAAGAGTTAAGACTAATAAAATCTGGGGATTGTGGGAGAGAGAAAAATTAAAAGAAATAAGTGCTAACCTCATCCAACCTCGAAGTTGCTTTTAGGGTACACTCTTGTACCATAAACAGTTGTTTGTGTGTGCTTCTCCGTCCCTCCTCCCCTGGACAAACTTTGGGACAAAAAAGGCAGTAAGCCACTTCATGATGAACTGTTTTATGTAAATTCATTCACCAGGTCTTAAATTGTTTAGCAAACAGACTCCCCAAGGGCCTACTTTGTGCCAACCATTGGGGATATAAAGGTGAGCAGAGTAAGACTTGTTTTCATTTGAGTTCAACAGTTAGAGAAGACAGACCAACAGTTACAGTAGAGTACAGAAGATATTCCAGGGAGAGAGAACAGCATGTGCAAAAAGGCCCAAAGGTGTGAGAGAACTTGGTTTGTTGTAGGAACTGAAGGGAGTTCGTTATAGCTGAGAGTTTACAATGCAGGGAAGGAAATGGAGAGAGAATTCTTGGATGGGAGTGAGACTGGAGGCAGAGAGACCAGTTGGGAGATGACTTTGGCAAAGACTGTGCAGTGCAGATAGAGGTGGACTCATTTAAAAAGGTAGAATTGTTTAAAGAAAAAAAAAAGATAGATGTTAATGAATAATTAATGTGGGAGGTGAGAAGGAAGATGGGAGTTAGGAAAGATTCTCATTTTGGGGTTGGTTCCATTCATCTACCTTAGAACAGAAGGAAGGTGAGATTGCAGAAAGATGGGGAAACGTTCAGTTTAGGACAGGTGGAGTTTGAATTACGTGAGAACCATGTAAGAGGAGTGGTCAGAACAGCAGCTTGGATCCAGAGTTCTGGATAGTGCTCTGTTGTGGAGGTTTCCATCAGGAGTCATCAGCTTTCATATGTAATTAAAGCCAAGAGAGCAGGTGACTGTGGACATGAAATGAATCTGAGTAGTGGCTCTCAACTGTTTTTGTTCCCCATGTGGACATTATGGCTTCTGGAGACATTTTTGAGTATTATAATGGGAGAGAGGCAGGAATGTTAACTGCCATTGTGTTTGGCCCTTATGTGCTGAACATTGTACAATGCGCAGGATAGCCCCAACCCAAGCTGCCCAGCCCAAAAGGTCGATAGTGCTGATGTGGAGCAACTCTGGTCTAGAGAGAGGACAGAAGATGCCTAGGAAAAGCACTGAAGGATGGCAGAAAGGAGTGAACAGAGAGCTAATGGGTAGCATGGAAATGAAGGGAAAAGTATATTTCCCAAAGGAAAGCAGATCAAGGGTGTTAATTACTGCTGGAAAGTCTAACAAGAGGGAACAGAAGCATCTACTGGATTTAGCAGTGAGGAAGGCATTGGTGACCCTGCTGAAAGGTGAGGGCAATAGCTAGCTGCTGCTTTGACAAAGGAGTAGCAAAATTGTAATAATCACAACAGGAAACCTTTACTGAACACTTGCTACCAGGCACTGTGCTAAACATTGTATGCTTATTGTTTCTCTGTCTCCCCACAGTCTTCCTAGGGTCTATACTGTTGTTATTTTATAAAGAGAAACTAAGGCTTGAAGAGGTTAAGAAGCCTTCCCAAGGTCACACAGCTAGTAGATGGAACCTGTCTCTGACTCCAAGACCCATGGGGATACAAAGATGAAGAGGCTGAGGAAGCCCAGGGACTCATATAATGAACTTTGGAATTAGACCTTCATTTGAAGCTATCACTAGCAAGCTGTTAATCACCAGCAAGTTAGCTAACCTCTCTATACTGAGGTTTCCTCATTTGGAAAATGGGATAGATAGAAAATAAAACACTTACTGAGCTTACACTAAGTACCAAATGCTGTCCTAAGCACTTTTACATGAATTACCTTATTATTGCCTGAACAACACAATGAGTAAGTATTCCCATTTTACAGGTGTGGAAATTGAGGCACAGGAATAGAAAATCATTTCCCCAGGCTTTTTAGTTAGTTGTAAGTGGAAGAGCTTGGATTTGAACCCAGGCCATCTCACCTTGAATAATGAACCTACCTACTATGTGCTAATTACTGTGCTGGCATTTTACATGTTACTTCTTCTGATCCCCATTAAGCCCTTTAAGGCACACCCCACCCCATTTTATAGACAAGGAAACCAGAGCACATGAATCTTAAGTCATTTGCCCAAAGTCACAAGCTAGTGTTAGAGCTGGAATTTGAATTCAGCTCTGTCTGAACAGAGTCTATACTTTCTTCATCACCGCAGACTTCCTTTCCCTTATATCTATCACTGCGCTTCCTTAAGTGCTTCTGTATCTGCCATCTTTCTCGTTCTCACAAAAACTTTGGGTGAGCTAGGCTATGGGAGGCCCCTGCACACATTTTTGACAAGTCAGTAAACTCTGCACTGTAGTTTTCAAATCTGCACAGGTTTTTGCTTACTTGCTACCGACTTTCAGGATTGTTATGAGGGTCAAATGAAAACCAGATGGCCAATTGCTTTGTAAACCATAAAGTGAGAAGTGTTGTTACTTGCTTCATTTATCAGATGAAGGAACAGAGGCCCAATTCTTGAAACAGGCCATCAGCTTATGGATATGTCTTATTTTGTATAATATTCTTTCCAGGGGTAGTCTGTTCACTTTTGTCTTGGGTTTCTCTGTTGGCCACCACAGCAGCCTCTTGCCTTATATGTCTGTGGTTCCCAACAACCGGCTGCTAACCACCGGCAAAAGAGAAAGAGTCAGAACTGCCAAGAATTTTCTCAATTAGTATATAGCAGAAAGGCAATATGGCATCCTCATTAAAAGCTAGCTTTTGCAGGTGATCTGTTTGAATTCTGCTGCTAGCTACATCTTGGTACCCTCCAATGTAAAACAGAGAAATATCCTCCTTATAAGATACTTCTCAGCTTTCAATCTGTGCAAAAAATAAAGAGGCTTTTTTTTTTTGCTTTTAGTTTAATGTGTTTTCTGGTGATAAAAGTAATTCATATATATTTTTTTTCCCAAATAACTTAGGTTGAAAGAAAACTAAACAGAAAGCTTATAATAGAGAAGGATTTGCATGTCAGTGCCTTTTGCAAACTGAGCAAGGACAGAAAGCGACTGAGGGCTGCCTCTCAACTTTATCCCTTCCAAACAAGGAATCCACAGTGTCTTTTTCTTTTTAATGCAAATATTATAGACATTACAGCATTATAGAACTGGGTAACAGAAAGTAAACCCACATAATCCCCCATCAAGGGAAAACCATTGTTTACAGTTTAGTGTGTGTGTAAGTATGTATCATAAACCTCAGGTAAGAAATAAAAGACACAGAAAAGTCAGGCAGTTCATTGACTGGTTTTGGGTGGAGAGCAAATGTCAACTATTTTAATCCTGAGAGCAACTCTGGGATGTTGGTCTGCAATACCTTGGCAGTCAGTGTGTCCCACCCACAGCATCCACCTTATCTGGGAGTTTGTTAGAAATGAATAATCTCAGGCATCACCCCAGGAACTGAAACCCAATCTGCATTGTAACAAGCTCTTCCAGGTTATTTGTGTACACATTACAATCTACACCCTGCTGGACCTCCTTGTAGAGCAGGGAAGGAACTGAGGCCAAGCTTGGGTTCACCTATACTATAGCTGGGGGAGAAAGCTCCCACAGAATGAGCTGTGGCCATGGCCCCTGGCACTCCCAATGGTCTCCAGGCCTGCTTCCCACCCAGGTCAAGGTTCTGGGGTCTCTAGTTTACTGAGATGCTGGGGTTTGTTTTGTTTGTAGACTATGCTTCTTCCTTCTTTGAAGAGCAAAAGGACAAAATGTAGGCTATGATACAGGACAGTAATGGCCACATGGCCCCAAGAATAAAATACCAACGTGTTCAGAAGAGCTGCTGCACCTCTGTGAGCTTCTTCGTTGGTAAATGGGACTAATAGAACCTACCTCTCAGGGGCACCATGAAGATTAAAGTGTGCCTGGCATGTAGTCAGTGCTTAGTAAATGTTAATGTTTGCTAAATACACAATATGGTTTACAGTCCCTGAACTATACATAATCTCCTCCAACCTCACACCATACTCCTCCTGAGACCACATATTTGATTCATTTTTTTCTTCTCTCCTGCCCTTCTGTGTTCACCCTCACTAACAGAACACACACAGCATGCTGCCTGACCAGTTCCTCGGGGAGGGCATGCTTTCACACCTCTGTGCTTTTGCACATGCCATGCCTTCTGCCTGGAAGGCTTGGCAAGGTCCCCTTCATCCTGATAGAGCTCAGCTGTATTAAGTACCTCTTCCTCCAAGACTTCTATTCTTATCTCTTAGCAAAGCTGGTCCCTGCTTCCTCTGTGCTGCCACCATACTTCATGCCTAAAACTTCTCTTCTCTCTAGGAGCTGGTCGCTGTCGGCTAAGCAAGGTGGGAGCTGGCCGGCGTCCACCTCCAGCTCGAGTAAGGGTGGCTGTGCGACTGCGGCCATTTGTGGATGGAACAGCTGGAGCAAGTGACCTCCCCTGTGTACGGGGTCTGGACAGATGTTCTCTAGAGATTGCCAACTGGAGAAACCACCAAGAAACACTCAAATACCAGTAAGGTTTAGGCCACTCTTCCCTTTCATCCCTCTCTCTCCTGGGTCTGCTCATGCTATCACTCACCCAGACAATTAGTTTCTCAGACCTGCCTCCTCAGGGTCCTTGCTTTTTTTAGCACAGCTTTTTTCCCCACACCTTCTTTTGTCCATTCAGGAAATGTACATGGGTGCCTGCTGTGGCAGGTCCTCTGTGGGCCACTGTGGGGAAAGACTGGAGGCTGAATCAGACATGCCTTACTGACCACAGCCTTGTGCGGGAAATAGGCACAGAGAGGAATGTGAGCAAGGGAGTCCCATCTAGGGTCTGGGGAAGTAAGTGAAAGGTTGGGGGAACACAGCCAGCTAGCCAACCAGGCTCTCACTTGGTGGTGTCAGGGAAGACCACCCAGATTTGAGGACAGAACTCACAAGGGTAGCTACTTTAAATTCCATTGCACATTTAAAGTTCAGGCTCTTGGCCTGTTATTCTAGGCCAGGGGTAGCAAACTACAGCCTCCAGGTCATATCTGACCAGGAGTCTTTTTGTAAATAAAAGTTTTATTGGAACATAACCACACTTATTTGCATATTGTCTGTGGCTACTTTCTGACTATAATGCCAAAGTTTAGTAGTTGCGAAAGGAGCCACATGGCCCACAAAGCCTAACTATTTGCTATTTGACTCTTTACAGAAAAAACTTTGCTGACCCCATTCTAGGCCCTTGATGATTTGGCTTCAGTTTCTTTCCAGCCTCAGCTACACTCCACTTAGACTAATCCATACTGTGGACTCAGCCACAACTTCTCCACCAGAGTGCAACGAATGGGCTATAGGTGTATAGAGTCTCATAACCAGCATCCACTGTTTACTCCATTATGGTGTACAAATACTACTTCCTAAATATACTGTCATGTGGAAAAGATTGGGAAGCCCTGCCCTTTCACACCAAGTCTTGTCTGTGTGCTATTTTTGATACATAGAATATCCTTCTCTTCTCTTTGGCAAAATCCTCCTTTCTCAAGCATAATCAGTTACACTTTCTAGTGCATTCTTATCTTCATTTCCTGAATCATAGCAAAGTATGGATATCTACCTATCCCAGTAAACTGCAGAAATCCCAAGAGCAGGGACCTCAGGTTCATCTCATATTCCTAATACCAATATAGGGAATGGGACAGAAGAGGTTGTTCAGGGGGTGCCTTCTAACTTTATTCAATAAAAGGGACAGATTCTTAAATCTGAGGCCAGTATTCTTTAGGTCTGGGTGAGAATGGCACCCTTCACTAATTCCCTTCTTTCTTCTTGCAGGTTTGATGCCTTCTATGGGGAGAGGAGCTCTCAGCAAGACATTTATGCAGGATCAGTGCAGCCCATCCTAAGGCACTTGCTGGAAGGGCAGAATGCCAGTGTGCTCGCCTATGGGCCCACAGGAGCAGGTGAGAGACAGACAGGGAACAGCTATGGGCCAACTAGGGAGTGGGGAGGAAAATCTCACAGCAATCTCCACTCTCCCTAGGGAAGACACACACTATGCTGGGCAGCCCAGAGCAACCTGGAGTGATTCCCCGGGCTCTCATGGACCTTCTACAGCTCACAAGGGAGGAAGGTGCTGAAGGCAGGCCATGGGCCTTGTCTGTCACTATGTCCTACTTAGAGATATACCAAGAGAAGGTGAGGCCCCACTCTTGTTGGGGAGGGAAGAAACAAAGGGTCAAAATAAGACCCAGTTCTAACATGAAGCTCTGCTCTAATAAGGAGGTAAGACCTAAAAGATGGAGGTTGGAGTAGCAGACAGTACAACTTTTGAGACTCCAACAGAGAAAAGGACACTGATCCCCAGGAAGTAAGCAGCTTTTGTCTGGAGAATTCACCCTGCCTCTCTCTGCTCCAACAGGTATTAGACCTCTTAGACCCTGCATCAGGAGACCTGGTGATCCGAGAAGACTGTCGAGGAAACATCCTAATTCCAGGCCTCATGCAGAAGCCCATCACTAGCTTTGCTGATTTTGAGCAGCACTTTCTGCCAGCCAGTCGAAATCGGACTGTGGGAGCCACCCGCCTCAACCAGCGCTCCTCCCGCAGTCATGCTGTGCTCCTGGTTAAGGTGAGGCCCACTGACAGGCATGAGGACCTGGGAAGCCCCTGGAGCCTGAACTAAGCCTGGGGCCCTTGCTTTTACCCCCAGGTCGATCAGCGGGAACGTTTGGCCCCATTTCGCCAGCGGGAGGGGAAACTCTATCTGATTGACTTGGCTGGCTCAGAGGACAACCGGCGCACAGGCAACAAGGGCCTGCGGCTGAAGGAGAGTGGAGCGATCAATACTTCCCTATTTGTACTGGGCAAGGTGGTGGATGCACTGAACCAGGGCCTCCCTCGTGTACCTTACCGGGACAGCAAGCTCACTCGTCTGTTGCAGGTCAGGCCACCCATCTTGGGGTAAACGGGGTTGGAGAAGGAGTTTCTTAGGTGTGATGGGAGGCTGGGGAACAGCAGTCAAGGAATAAAAATGTGGGGCTTCTGGTCCACCTATTTAGCCCAATCCCCATCCCTTAGGACTCTCTGGGTGGCTCAGCCCACAGCATCCTCATTGCCAACATTGCGCCTGAGAGACATTTCTACCTAGACACAGTCTCTGCACTCAACTTTGCTGCAAGGTCCAAGGAAGTGATCAACCGTCCTTTTACCAATGAGAGCCTGCAACTTCATGGTGAGGACTGGGGTTGGCAGGAGTGGAAAGGCTGTCTCTGGACAATTGGGGAGTTTGCTAAATCCACCAAGCATCAGCACAGAGGCTGATACTATCCCCACTCCAATCATCCCTAGTCTTGGCACCAGTTAAACTGTCTCAGAAAGAACTGCTAGGCCCATCAGAGGCAAAAAGAGCCCGAGGCCCTGAGGAAGAAGACATTGGGAATCCTGAGCCCCCAGCAGTTCCAGCCTCTGCCTCCAGGAAACTCAGGTGAGCAGGCAGGGGGTGGGCCTTTTCTGTTGTGTCTGGGTTGATTGCAGAGCAGCAGTGGGTTTAGCCTGTAAAATCCTTTGCACTGCTAACTTGTTCCTCTCTATTGAATTCACTCAAAATCCTACTCTATTGAATTTACTGAAGTGTGAATATTAATCTCTTATCTTCTGGACTGCTACCTGGGCCCTAAAAGGCTGCCTCTTTAAGCTTCTGGCCCATTCCCTTTTCATTTTCCAATCCCTTTAATGCCATCAGCAAAACCTCACATTTTGGGGCAGCTGTTTTGAGGACAAGCACTTTTGCTTTTGGCTCAAGGAGTAATCTAGGTGAGGTCTCTCAGGTCCAGAGAAGAACAGCAAAGCAAAGGAAACAAGAGATGAAAGAGCTGTGTCTTGCTGAGACCTCTGTTAAAGAGTCTAACCTCTCCATAACTCCAAGGAGCCAGTTGCTCTCCTAACTTTGCCCTGCTTCTACCCTCAATGCAAACAAAGCCTCTCTAAGTCCCTTCTGTGTGTATAACCTCCCTCCCTGGTTCTAACAGTCCTACCTCATAGCCCAGTATGAATTAATTGTCAGGTTACTTCTATTTAGTGGTCGTGCTTTCTCTGTCTGGCCACCTGGCCGTCCCTAACTCTAAGGAGCCAGCTGCAGTTTTAACTTTGTCCTGTTTCTACCCTAATGCCAAATAAATCCTCTCTAAACCACATTAAGTCCTAAGGCCACTGAACAGAAGTGCTTTGAGAAGGCCAAGGATTAGTACAATTTGCCCCAGGGGCTATTATAGTTGAGGAAGGATAGCATACATAAAAAAGGTGCTTGTTCACTCAGAACCCCATCTCTCGATCTTGTCCTCAAGCCATTTGTCAGCAATCCCCTTTCTTATGCACAAACTAGGGAAACATGCACATCTGTATTACATATGAACAGGCAAGATCTCTAACAGATATGCACCCTAGGTAAGCTCAGAGGAAGGGCACATCAGACCTAATCAGATCCTGCCCCTAGGGGCTCACATTTCAGTAGGGGAAATAAGATGGAACATAAGTATATGACACAAGGTAGATAGTAGGAGTGCAGTAAAGATGGAGGAGCTGATTGATCTGGGAGAGCCAGGAAGTGAGAAGTGACTTGTAGCATTCACAAATATTTCTGATCCTGCTCTTCCTAGGCACTTGCACACAAAGAAGAGAGCAGTCCCTGTCCTGGAGGAGTTAGTTCAGTGTAGGAAAGAAGATACACAAGCTGGGCATCATGGGAAAGGTGGCATCAAACTGACTTTAAATGATAATTGAGATCAGATGTGAGGGAAAAAAATTCCAGAGAAGGAATAAATGTTAGGCATTACCACATTTAGGCTAAGTCAGGACTCTGTTTGAATAGGCCTTTCCTACTGCCCAAAGGAGAAAGGTTTGGCATTTGAGGTCTTCAGTGGCTTCCAAAGCCCTGCTGAAGATGACCTCCTCTTTGAAGATCTTCCTGACTGCTCCTTCAAATGGACAGACACAGAGTCCTTGCTGTCACCTTATCATAGTCTCTTACTTTCTATTAGACAGTGAATGCTCCCAGGGCAGGGCAACATCTTAGATCCTGGATACCTGAAACTCAGGTGTTCATTAAATGCCCATTCTCATCTGATCTCCTGGCATCCCTGAGAGGCTATTCGTACAGGTAGTAATCCATCCCCATTCATCTGTGAAGACACTGCACCCAGAGAGAGTGGATGACTTGCTCAGGGCTGCCCAGCAAGTAAACACCAGGGTCTGGAATCCCAGAAAACACCAAGTTAAGGCATGATAAGGGGAATCCTGCTGTTAGAGAGGGTGATGAGAGAGGGATAGGTGGAGAGTAACTTCTTTGTCTGCTCAGCCCCCTACAGAAGCTAAGTAGCATGGACCCGGCCATGCTGGAGCGCCTTCTAAGCTTGGACCATCTGCTGGGCTCCCAGGGGAGCCAAGGGACCCCTCTGCTGAGCACCCCAAGGAGAGAGCGGATGGTACTTATGAAAACAGTGGAGGAAAAGGATTTGGAGATTGAGGTAAGTGTTGGGGAGGTGGGGAATACGATTTCTCCTGGCTTTGAGAAGCAATCTGAGGATCTTCAGATAGGGAAGGACACCCTTAAAGGCAGGACCAATATCATTTTCACCTAGCACCAGAATCTCTGTTCTCTCACTTCTGCTTGAATGTCGTTAACATGGCTGAATCTTGTAAAGTAACAGATCAGATGTGAGGAGGTGAAAGGAAGAAATTCCAGGAGAAAGGCACAAAAGTAAGACATTGCCATCCCCTAAAATCCAGCTCAAATTAAGTTAGGATCCTTTGCTTAAACAGTTCTTCCCTTCAGTGTTTTGCAAAGAGGCAGCCCTGATCATTAGAAGGCTCTTAATTATATTGAGTTCCAGTTGTCTTCTGGTAGCTTCTCCCATTGGTCCTTGCCTTTCTTTCTAGGGCCTCAGAGCTCTGCACACTCACTTACCTAATCCACTGCCCTTCCAGCTGCCCTAAAGTTGGTGCTGGGTCATCTCTCCCCCTGATCCTTTCTAACAGAGGCTTAAGATGAAGCAAAAAGAACTAGAAGCTAAGGTGCTGGCCCAGGAGGCTGCGGACTCAAAAGAGAAAGAGAATTGCTCTCCCACAGTGCTCCGACCCCTGACCCACCGCACAGTCACAGTGGCGAAGTCCTTTAAAAAGGCTGTGGTGATGCCCTTACAACTAAGTACGTTTCATTCTGGGGTCTGGGAGGGCCCAGATAACAGAGCTCAGAAGGGAGGAGGTGTTAGAAGCAGCTGTCCTCATATTACTCATGTCCTTCCATCATATGCTAGCCCCAGAGAGGGGTTAAGAAGCTCTGAAGTAGAGCTGGGTGCTCTGTTCTCAGGCATCTCGTACAATGGGGTAGACTGACAAGTGCATGACTATAGTGCAAGACCACTTGAGATTACTTTCAAATACAGGTAAATGGTGGCGATGTGGAAACATAACAAAAGAAGAGGATAGATACCTTAGGAGGAAAGGGAACTGGGGAGTCAGGAATGGGAGAACCAAGCAGCTTCCAGGGCAGGTGAAAAGCAGCCTCAGCCATGACTCTCGTTCACAATTCTTGCTTTCAGTTCAGGAGCAGGCAGCCTCCCCACATGCCAAGATCCATATCCTGAAGAAGAAAGGCCGGAAGAGAAAGGTGAGAGGAGCTGGAGGGTTAGACCCTAGGAGAAATGGTAGTAAGGAAAAAGGGTAGTGGGCTCCTGAGCTCCAGTGCGCAGAGCACTGGCCATGGAGTTACACAACCTGTCAGAACACTTATCAGCTATTTGCAACTCTTCCAAGTTGCTTACCCTGGGAGGGCAGATACTTCACATTTAGGATGAAATGCAATGATATGATGAATGTACCTAACAGAGTGGGTGCCTTATCACCTACTTTCCTTTCTTCTGGATGGTTCTCACCCTGTCAGTAGCTACTTATTAGATGTGTATAGTCCTGGTCCTGCCCTCTATAAACTTAAGGGCCCCGCGTTTGGGAAACATGACCTAAGCAATCAAGGAATGAAACAACACTGGAAGAACTACCTAAAAACAGAGATGACAGGTTTCATGTGGGGAGGGGGTATGGGGGGGTGCAATTTATTGAGTACCTTTTCCTGTGTGTTTTCCTAGCTGTGAAAGAACTAACTTACTTTTTAGAGAGACAGGATTTTAAGAGTTTACTGTGTGCTTTACATTCATTAATTCACTTGATTTTCACGGCAACTCTGTTACCACTTTTTCACAAGTCAGATAAAAATGGGAATCAGCCCAGAGAGCCACCATAGGGAAGGGTTTTTGGACACACTCTGACAGGAGGAAAAGAAGTTGTCGGGGGCGGGGGGTGGTGGTGCAAGGAGGTAGCTGCTGTTAGGCTCCTATCTTTAACAGAGGAGTCCAAAGCTGTTTGCTGCGGCAAGCTGCAGCGAAATCTGCTTTTGTTACTCACCTCCCCCTACCTCATATAGCTGGAGTCCCTGGATGCCTCAGAGCCAGAGGAGAAGGCTGAGGACTGCTGGGAGCTACAGATCAGCCCGGAACTATTGGCCCATGGGCGCCAAAAAATACTAGATCTGCTGAACGAAGGCTCAGCCCGGCAACTGCGCAGCCTGCAGCGCATAGGCCATAAGAAAGCCCAGCTCATCGTGGGCTGGAGGGAGCTTCACGGCCCTTTCAGCCAGGTAATGGCTCAGGGAGGGCAGCCCTGGAATGGAGTTGGAGGCTTGGGGGGCGGGGGGGCAAAGAATCTGGAACTCCCTAGGCCCCTTCGTCATTGCTACTGTCCTGTCAGGTCGAGGACCTGGAACGCGTGGAGGGCATATCTGGGAAACAGATGGAGTCATTCCTTAAGGTGAGTTCACAGCTTGGCCCCTTTCCTTTGGTCTCTGCTCTGCCCCGGGCTCTAACGCTGCTCTCCCTTCCCTCTTGTGTTGCAGGCGAACATCCTGGGTCTCGCAGCAGGCCAGAGCTGTGGCCCCTCCTGATTTCCAGCTCCTCTCCTGACTCTGCCGCGTTGTTGTTTTTCTTTTTTAAATCCACGGATAACCGCTTGTCATGTAAATACAGTATTTACTCCTATGCTTCAGCCTGATTCTTGAGACTCCGGGGCGGGGCCAAGGCAGAATTGCCCTTGGGAAGGCCCACACAACCTACAGGCTAACTTCTTGGGGCGCCATCTTTGGGAAAACACGAAGCAGCGCAGGATTGTAAATAAACCATTGGAGTGGGGAGGGGGTAAAAAACGGTGGCCGAAAGGAAACAAAAAGCTAACGTGAAAGTTCGAGGACGACGACCGTTGAGGGCACGCGCTTAGTTTAGCTCCGCCTCATCCGTACCCCCGACGCGCGCTCCCCTATTCTCCCGCTCAGCAACGACAGCGGTATTTTGCGCGTGCGCGCGAAATAACGGCCGGTGGAGGGGTGTGGAATCTCAGGGGGGCGGTGAAGAGAAGCTGCACTGTCTCCGCGCGCCCACCACCTGCGCCTTCGTCAGCCAATCAGCGACCATCTCAGGGGTCTCGCGCTCGGGGCGACTCGGGCTGCTGGGTGGCTCCCCCGTCCCTCCTCCCACCAGAGTCCTTCTCGTACCTCCCTCCTCCCGCTGGCCTCGCGCGCTCGCGCTTGCGCTCGCGCCCGCTCCAGCCTCTTGTGTGTCCTCGCGCCCCCCGCCCGCCCTCCCCACGCGCAGTGTGCTCCGCTCCCCCCACCCTCCTCCTCCTTGCCCCCTCCTGCTCGCGGCACACACCTCCTCCCTGGGTTCCCCCTCCCCCACAGCCACCTCCTACTCCTCCCGCCCCAGGGTGAGCGCAAGCTACCTCCCTCCCTCCCTCCGCCATGGATCCCGGCAACTGGAGCAGCTTCATCTTCCAGGTAACAACCCCCTCCCCCCGCCCCACTTCCCACACCCCTTCCCGTCCGCCCTCCCTCCCGTCCCAACCCCCCACTCCGCGCACCCGGTGCGCGCGCAGCTGTCCCCCTCCCTCCCTCACGCCCTCCCCGAGGCGCCGGCTGGGCGAGAGCGCGCGCGGAAGCGCGCGCGCGCGTGCGGCGGGGGCCGAAACAGCTCCCTCGCTCCCCCCACCCCGCCCCGCCAGGCTCCAGCAGGGGCCGCCGCCGCTCGGGCCCCCGCCCTCCGACCCCGACCCCCAGCCCCGCGGGGCCTCTCGCCCCCACCCAGGGGGCGTCGCCGCCGCGCTCCGCCAGGCGCCCTCCTTCTTCCCGCCGGCCGGGTTGCGCGGGCGGCGGCGCGGCCCGCGGGCCATGCGTTCGGCGCGGCCCAGCCCGGCCGGCCGGGGGCGGCTCCCCGAGCCCGGGCCCCGTGCGGCCCGCGCCCCCGGCCCCCGTTGAGCCCCGGGGGCACCGCCGTGACCGAGGCCATGTTCCCCGTGTTCCCTTGCACGCTGTTGGCCCCCCCCTTCCCCGTGCTGGGCCTGGACTCCCGGGGGGTGGGCGGCCTCATGAACTCCTTCCCGCCACCTCAGGGTCACGCCCAGAACCCCCTGCAGGTCGGGGCTGAGCTCCAGTCCCGCTTCTTTGCCTCCCAGGGCTGCGCCCAGAGTCCATTCCAGGTGAGTAGGGGCCGGCCGTGGCGGGCCGGGAGGGCGCCGACCCGCGGCCGCGGCCCACACGGCGCCTTGTCTTCGCAGGCCGCGCCGGCGCCCCCACCCACGCCCCAGGCTCCGGCGGCCGAGCCCCTCCAGGTGGACTTGCTCCCGGTTCTTGCCGCCGCCCAAGAGTCTGCCGCGGCCGCCGCGGCAGCAGCTGCCGCCGCCGCCGCCGCCGTTGCTGCTGCGCCCCCGACCCCGGCCGCCGCCTCCACAGTGGACACAGCGGCTTTGAAGCAGCCCCCAGCTCCCCCTCCGCCGCCCCCGCCGGTGTCGGCGCCAGCTGCCGAGGCCGCGCCCCCTGTGTCTGCCGCCACCATCGCTGCAGCCGCGGCCACTGCCGTCGTAGTCCCAACCTCGACGGTCGCCGTGGCCCCTGTTGCTTCTGCCTTGGAGAAGAAGACAAAGAGTAAGGGGCCCTACATCTGTGCTCTTTGCGCCAAGGAGTTCAAGAACGGCTACAACCTTCGGAGGCACGAGGCTATCCACACGGGAGCCAAGGCCGGCCGGGTTCCCACCGGTGCTATGAAGATGCCCACCATGGTGCCCCTGAGCCTCCTGAGTGTACCCCAGCTGAGCAGCGCCAGCGGGGGAGGGGGAGAAGCGGGTGCCAGCAGCGGAGGAGCCGCAGTGGCCCCAGGTGGCCTGGTGACCACGACCGCCTCCGGAAAGCGCATCCGGAAGAACCACGCTTGTGAGATGTGTGGCAAGGCTTTCCGCGACGTCTACCACCTGAACCGACACAAGCTGTCGCACTCGGACGAGAAGCCCTACCAGTGCCCGGTGTGCCAGCAGCGCTTCAAGCGCAAGGACCGCATGAGCTACCATGTGCGCTCACATGACGGCGCTGTGCACAAGCCCTACAACTGCTCCCACTGTGGCAAGAGCTTCTCCCGGTGTGCACGGGGCCTCCGCCACCGTGGGGCGGGAGGGACAGCAATGGAGATGGCCTGGCCTTGGCTGGTGGGGTGGGAGAAGGTTTCTGAGGATGGCAACCGGGAACCACTCCCAGGGAGGGAGGGAGGAAAGCCTCTCCTGGTTACCAGGGAGCCGGGGGTGGTACTTAGCAGAGGAAGTGGGTCTTTCTGTTGAAGGGAAGTTTGGCGTGGGAGGAGGACTAGCCTGCCTTGCGTCAGGGGAGGGATTTCCAGCCTAACTAGGACTCGTAGGCCAGAAGGCCAGAGCTCGGGAGGAAATGCAGGGACCTTTGGAAAGGCCTGCTGTATACTAAGGCAGATTTGGGGGCATCTCCACACCCCAGGACCCTAACCCCAACCCCAACGTATTCCCAGGCCGGATCACCTCAACAGTCACGTCAGACAAGTGCACTCAACAGAGCGGCCCTTCAAATGTGAGGTAGGAAGTCGTCTCCTGTCCTGGTTTTCATGATTTTGAACCTCATTGTAGCTGTCTGAGTTCAGCCTCTCAGATCCCCTTTTTCTCTCTCTTTTTGTTTTTTCACTCCATTTTCTCATCCCTCCTTAAGGTCTTGTCATTTCATTCCCATTTCCTACAGATCAAAGATCCCCAAGGCTCTGGTTCCTTTAGCCTCTTGCCCCCCTCTCCCCACCTGCTAAAGCTTTAACTCTCCTGACACCCCTCACTCCCCTCCCGCTTCCCCAGAAATGTGAGGCAGCTTTTGCTACGAAGGATCGACTGCGGGCGCACACAGTACGACACGAGGAGAAGGTTCCATGTCATGTGTGTGGCAAGATGCTGAGCTCGGCTTATATTTCGGACCACATGAAGGTGCACAGCCAGGGCCCTCACCATGTCTGTGAGCTCTGCAACAAAGGTACGTGCTGAGGAATGCTGGGAGGGCCTGGGACAAAGGGTGGGAACAAAGCCAGAGGCCTTTCCACAGATGTGGGTTAAAGGCGCTGTAGCTAAGGGCTTATGGCATCTAGAGCACATTAGGAAGCAAATGAAGCAGCACTGGGATGACTGAACATCATTAAGTTCTAAGAGGTCATGGCCGGAGATGGACCTGCCAGAAAGACATGACTTCTGGGTGTGTGTGGGGACAGTGGGAGTGAGACATGGTTGCTCTGGGGAAGGTGTGGTCAAGAGAGCTAGTTGCCACTGGTCAGAAGGCAGAATCACAGCTACGCAGCCACAAGTTCTCATCTTCGGCTCCTGGGGCAAGTGGAGTACATCAACAGGTGTTTAACAAGCACACACAGTGCCCCAGTAGCAAAGAAGCTGCTTTTAGACAGATCCACATTCACCGAGTACCGGGCTAAGATCGTATGGGGTACTGGAGGGAGGGGACACAGCCGTCTGAGGGTAAGCCCTTCAAGTGGCTAGGAATCAGTGTCCTGTCACCCCAGGAGAGAGTCCCCTGCCACGGAGAATGGGCTCTGTGGGTACCAAGGCCAAGAGGCTGACACCACTCAAGCAGGTCCCAAGCTCATGGCAGGGCTCTGCCGCAGCAGAGTAGTTGGCCCCAGGCTACCAAGGATGTGGTGGGAGGAGGACAAGGCCATCTGAGGAGGGTGTCCCCAGCCTAGGAGAACAGCCCCGTCTCTGGGGTCTCCGCCTGGCTGACCCCCACCCCCCCAATCCCAATCCACCCCCCCCAATAGGCTTCACCACGGCAGCATACCTGCGCATCCACGCGGTGAAGGACCACGGGCTCCAGGCCCCGCGGGCTGACCGCATCCTGTGCAAGCTGTGCAGCGTGCACTGCAAGACCCCTGCCCAGCTGGCCGGCCACATGCAGACCCATCTGGGGGGGGCCGCCCCCCCTGTCCCGGGAGATGCCCCCCAGCCACAGTCCACCTGCTGAGGGGGACCCCTGCACCCACCAGGCAAGGCGTGGGGCAATGGCTGGGGGGGTGGGATGGGGGGGTGGGACGACGGGACTCAAAGGGCCCAATAGGGGATCTCAGGAAGGCGCCAGGGATACCCATCTATCACTCAAGTTAGGAACACTTCTGGGGACAGGGAGGGCCCTTCAGAAGAACTGGATAAAGATGCAGGCCAGAGACTGGGGACCAAATAGGAAGTAAGCAACGGCTGTGTCCCAAGGGAGGGATGGCTCTTGCCATTCAGATTGCGCTGTGATCTGGTGTTTCTCACTGCAGGTACCGGTGAGGTTTGTCCAATGGCGGCAGCGGCGGCGGCGGCGGCGGCGGCAGCAGCAGCAGCAGCAGCAGCAGTGGTGGCGGCCCCTCCCACAGCTGTGGGCTCCCTCTCGGGGGCCGAGGGGGTGCCCGTGAGCTCTCAGCCACTTCCCTCCCAGCCCTGGTGAGCTCCAGGTTGGTGGGGGGAGAGGGGAGAATGGAGGAAAGTCCCTTGATACCATCTCCTCTTCCCCTCTTTTCCCACCAACTCCTCACTACTTACCCCATCACCAAGGCGCCTCCAGAAGGAAAGGAGGAAAAAATGTTTTCTTAGGGGAATTCGCTAGGTTTTAATGATTTGTTTCTCCTGCTCCTCTCTTCTCCCTTTCAGACCTGACCCCACACACACC